GTCCATCAACGGATGACTGGATAAAGAAACTATGGGATATGTACTCTATGGAACACTATACAGCAGTAAAAAACAATGAAATCCAGGCATTTACAACAAAATGGAGGAAGCTGGAAAACATCATGCTGAGTGAAATAAGCCGGTCCAAAAGGGACAAATATCATATGTTCTCCCTGATCGATGGCAACTAAACGAGCATCTAAAATGATACCCATTGAAGTGAAATGGACACTATGAGAGACAATGACATGATCAGCCCTTGTCTAGACTGTTGAGGAACAACTTACTATTTTATTCCTTTTAGTATTTTTGTTGTTGTTGTTGTTGTTGCTCTGTTTGTTCTACATAAGACCACTGGTTGAACTCTGTAATCAATGCACAATCATTCTTAGGTGTTTAAAATTAACAGAAAAGTGATCTCTGTTAAACATAGGAGTAGGAATAAGAGAGGGATGAGATATATAGGTTGTCACACGCTCACTCGGACTTACCTCCAATGGTGAAACTAGAAATGTGCCAGGGGATTTCAACTCAATCTTACCAAGGAGGCAGGCACCAATGCCAGCGCACCTGGTAAAGTGATAAGTATAAATACACAACCGATCAAAAAGATAGGGTATGTGTCAATGAGATTTCACAAATAAGACCAGTGTAAGCAATTAATGAAGGATAGAATTAAAAGGGAGAGAATGATCCTGTGGGGGAAACAGGACACACAGCAGACTCATAGAATGGCAGCACTCCTGCCTCAGAATCAACCCTTGGGACATTCGGATCTGGCTAAAAGGTCCATGAGAGTCTCACAGGCATGGAAAGCCATGACATGGTGGCAAAAAACAATCTAAATGAAAGATCCTGGTGAACAAGACCCCAGCAGAAGGAACAGGCCATCAAGGAGGGAGGTGCCTTTCTCTGAAGAGAGGAAGGATCCTCCACTGTGATATGGCCTTAACTAAACAAGTTCAGAATCGGTGAACTCAAGGGGCTTCCACAGCCTAGACAGCTCAAAGCAAGAGTCTCGGGTGATTGCTGACGTCATAAATAAGAGTGCCAATTGTTAAATCAACAAGGGAAGTCACTGGGTACATGCTCCCTACGTAGGATCTCTGTCCTTAATGTGTTCTACTATGAAACTTAAAAACAGCACTACTAGTCAAACAATACCCTATACCTTGTGCGGTTGTGTGAGTGCAGCCTGTTGAAATCCTTGCTTAGTATATACTAAGTTGATCTTCAGTATATGAAGGTAATTGAAAATGAAACGTGATGAAGGGCAGGATGGGAGAGGGAGTGGGAGAGGGGAGGGCCATGGGAGGGAGGGAGGTGGGGGGGGGAGCCACAACAATACAAAAGTTGCACTTTGTAAATTCACATTTATTAAATAAAAAAATAACTATATAAAAAAAAAACAAAAAAAGAACTTAATACTTTACCCTTTTAGTATTTTTTATGTTCTACTTAAAACTATTGGTTGAACTCTGTAATTAATACACGATTACTCTTAGGTGTTTAATTAATGCTATAACTAGTACTCAAATAGTATTTTACACTTTGTGTTTCTGTGTGGGTGCAAACTGTTGAAATCTTTACTTAATATATGCTAAATTGATCTTCTGTATATAAAGATAATTGAAAATTAATCTTGATGTGAATGGAAGGGGAAAGGGAGTGTGAGAGGGGTGTGTTGTGGGTGGGAGGGAAGTTACGGGGTGGGGGGGAAGCTATTGTAATCCATAAGCTGTATTTTGGAAATTTATGTTCATTAAATAAAATAAAATATAAAAAAGAAAGTTAAGTGATAATTTTAATTAGATTAATAAAGCTTTCTAAAACATTAAAAAAAAAAGATTGCATTGGTACGTGCCACCTTGATTGGATTGAATTGGAAACCCCTGGCACGTTTCTAACTCTACCATTTGGGGCAAGTCCGCTTGAGCTTGTCCCAAATTGTACATCTCCTCCCTTTCTTATTCCCACTCTTATATTTAACAGGGATCACTTTTCAGTTAAACTTAAACACTTAAGAATAATTGTGTGTTAATTAAAGAGTTCAACCAATAGTATCAAGTAGAACAAAAAAATACTAAAAGGGAAAATGTATTAAATTAGCATTGCATCAAATTGAGAAGTTTCTCTACTGCAAAAGAAACAGTCAAGAAAGTGAAGAAGCAACCAACAGAATGGGAAAAAATATTTGCAAACTATGCAACAGATAAAAGGTTAATAACCAGAATCTACAAAGAGATCAAGAAACTCCACAACAACAAAACAAACAACCCCTTAAGAGATGGGCCAAGGACCTCAATAGTCATTTTTCAAAAGAGGAAATCCAAATGGCCAACAGACACATGAAAAAATGTTCAGGATCACTAGCCATCAGGGAAATGCAAATCAAAACCACAATGAGGTTTCACCTCACCCCTGTTAGAATGGCTCAGATACAGAAATCTACCAACAATAGATGCTGGCGAGGATGTGGGGAAAAAGGGACACTAACCCACTGTTGGTGGAAATGCAAACTGGTAAAGCCATTATGGAAGTCAGTTTGGAGACTCCTCAGGAACCTGAATATAACCCTACCATACAACCCAGCCATCCCACTCCTTGGAATTTACCCAAAGGAAATTAAATTGGCACCTCAATGTCTATTGCAGCTCAATTCACAATAGCTAAGACATGGAATCAACCTAAACGCCCATCAACAGAAGACTTGGGTAAAGAAATTATGGGATATGTACTCTATAGAATACTATACAGCAGTAAAAAAAAATGAAATCCTGTCATTTGCAACAAAATGGAGGAATCTGGAAAACATCATGCTGAGTGAAATAAGCCAGTCCCAAAGGGACAAATATCATGTGTTCTCCCTGATTGGTGACAACTAACCGAGCACCAAAAAGGAAACCTGTAGAAGTGAAATGAACACTATGGGAAACTTGATCAGCCTTTGTCCTGACTGTTGATGAACAACTTAATACTTTATCCCTTTTAGTAATTTTTTTGTTTAAGTATGATTTTATCATCAATTTATGTATTTTATATGTTGTTACATCACACATAAAGTGGCCAAGGAAAATGTTATTAAAGTTTTGAAAATTTGGTTAAATTAAACAGTGGGGCTGGGGTAGGGAAGGAGGGAAAGCGATTTCCTATCTGATGGTTTACTCCTCAAATGCCTGCAATCCCAGGATAGGGACAGGCTGAAGGGTGGATCCAGGGATGCATCCAGGTCTCCCAAAGAAGTGATACGGAACCACCATGTGAACCATCACCTGCTGCTTCCCAGAGTTCGCATTCGTAGGAATCTGGAATCCAGATTAGAGCCTGGACTCAAACCTTGGCATTGCAATATGGGATGTTGGTATCCCACGCGGCATGTTAACCACTATGTTAAACGTTCACCCCTGGAGTATTGCCTTTCAGTAATTACATTGAGAAGAAGAGAGACACATACAGATAAAGTTCCCATCTGCTGGTTCATTCCCCATATGTCTGCAAAGGCTGTGGAACCAGGAATTAAATGTGAATGGCGGGAGCCCAATTACTTGGTTCATCAATGCTGATTCCCAGGTGATGCATCCTCAGGAAGCTTCAGGTCAGGAGCAGGAACTGAGAATTGCACCCAGGCTTTCCAACTGACACATAGGCTTGTTAACCTGAATCTTTACTGCTCGGGTAAATACCTGGCCTGGCCCAGGATAATTCCACAACCCACATTTGGAAGAATGAGTGTGAAATAAGCAATGGATGCTATTACAAAAATATCTTGGGTGCCAGCGCTGTGGCGTGTCGGGTAAGGCCGCCACCTGCAGTGCTGGCATCCCATATGGGCTACGGTTCTAGTCCCAGTTGCTCCTCTTCCAATCCAGCTCTCTGCTATGGCCTGTGAAAGCAGTAGAAGATGGCTCAAGTCCTTGGGCCCCTGCACCCGCATGCAAGACCCGGAAGAAGCTCCTGGCTCCTGGCTTTGGATCTGCTCAGCTCCGGCCATTGCAGCCAATTGGGGAATGAACCAGCAGATGGAAGACACCTCTCTCTCTCTCTCTCTCTCTGCCTCTCCTTCTCTGTTAAACTCTGACTTTCAAATAAATAAATCTTTAAAAAAAATCTGGAACCCACTGATCCTAATAAATAGTGACCTAGGGCTGCAAGTGACAGAAGGCAAAAGAAGTGACAGTAATGAAACACACATTTGTTCCACCAAATGCACTATTTTCCCAGTAGCAAAGTGCAACGAGGACATAGCATGCAGGGGCATTGACAATATTTTGATATCAGTAGAGAATACCTAAAATGGGAGGACATCTCATGCACCATCCCTGAGGTGAGTCCACCTGGGCAGTGCTACAGGCCCTTTCGGTGGAGGTGTGGGCTGTTGGCTGGGAACCGCAGACAAGAGTGATTGCCCCCATCAGAACTGTTTGGAGACTGTGATTTCAGGTTTTCTCCTTTTCCGGATTTACTGAGGGTTGTGATCGCGACCAGAGACTGGAACTGCATAGCCAGGTCCCTTGACACCCAGGGACACTCTGCGGGCCCTGGATGGGAGTGGCTGCTCAAGCCAGGGTAGTTAATCCCTGGCGAAGAGGAGATTCTGCATTGGAAGGAAAACGGCTCAAACATGTCCACTGTTATTTCTCTGGCACTTGGGTCACGGACGTCAGAACCTCTCGGGCAGAATTTGAAGTGTCAAAATTGGAGATTTGGGGGATGACATTTCAAAGTGCTGCCGCCATGGCACCTAGCGGATATGCCCTCAACGCGAATTCAGTCATCATGGCAGTTTTCTGTCTTCCATACCAGGGACTAGAACGCCAGCGCTCACTGGGATTGGCTGATGCGATTCTAGGCAGAAGGGCAGTCCCATCACATCGAGTGTTTTGTAGGCTAGCAACGGATCACACCACGGCCTGCTATCCAGCCCGATGGCCAGTGGGCCAGTGACGTCATCAACCCGCGCCCTTAGACCAGCTTGCGGGGCTACCTGCTGGTTAATCGCCATGGCTGAGTCCTCAACTCACCCAACTTCTGAGGACGGTGACGTCAGCCTGGCGCAGGAGAAGGCGCCCTCGCCGACCCCTAAGCAGAAGACTCCCAGGCGCCGCCGCCGCCGCCGCAGCCGCCGCTGCAGCCGCAGTCACAGCTGCCCTGATCAGGAGTACAGCTTCGCCGCCTATTTCACCAAGGTTCTTAAGCAAGATAACGAGGATCTCAGCCTGTCTCGGGAGGCCAAGAGCCTCATGGACGTGTTCCTGAGGGAGGTCTTCGAGCGCATCGTCAACCAGGCCGCCCGCCTGGTCCAGAAAAAGAATCTCCCAGCCCTTACCCAGATCGAGCTCCAGAGTGTGGTTCAACACCTGCTGCCCGGTGAGCTCAGCATGTTCGCAGACACGGAGGGCACCAAGGCCCTCCTGAAGTACAAAAGGCGCAAGTGAGCCGCTCCCAGCCCATCTGACCATCTGACCCAAAGGCTCTTTTCAGAGCCACCCACTCAGCCGAAAAGGCCTGTAGTACTCAAGTGGACTCACCTTAGGGCTGGGGCATGGACTGTCCTGCCCACTTTGAAAGCATTCTTTCCTAGAACATAAACACTATCACTTATTTTATAAGCCTGGTGCGATTAATTCTGATTGGGATTCCAGGGCTCGCTGGAGAGGCAGGAAAGACATAGCAAACAAACAAAAAACACATGCTCTTGTTGTACCCGAAGCAAATCACAGAGAAATTGCCACAAAATGAGAGTTTGGAATGAGTCCTTTATTTTAGCAGGTCGATGAGAGTGGGCTCATGCCCTAAAGAACTCTCGACCCTGAAGTTCAAAGCAACACGGTTTATCAAGGCAAAAACCACAAGGAGGGGAGGGGAATATAAATGGTTGCTAGAGTCAAGCTGACCTAAAGCATATGCAAAACTACTGTCAACTACAATCTTGACAATACCAATTACCATCTTGATGTTAGGCTAGTTGTAGCCTGTTTTCAGCTTGAGTGATCATGATAGGGCATTTGCATGTTCTACCAAATAGGATGTAGTGTGCCGCTATTGTCCTGGTTTTTACCACCATAGTCTCCTGGTAGGGGGTGCTTTTTCTTTTTCAAGAAAAAGAAAAAGTCTTGTCTGTCTATAAAATGGAGTCCCTATTGTCAGAGTGTGTCACTTCACTGTAACTCCAGGAGCCTGAGGGACTAGGAGACTGGATATGGGGCAGAAATATACAGTGTAACCTTGAGATGTTGGTGAGTCTGCTGAATGGACCTGACTGAGAACCTGGCACACTTTTGTGGAAAACAGGGTGCTCCAGTATCAATTCCCTGATTGGTTCATGCAGCATGCCTCATTAGCACAAGACTTTCAGTTCCCTGAATTTTTTTTTTTTGACAGGCAGAGTGGACAGCGAGAGAGAGAGAGACAGAGAGAAAGGTCTTCCTTTTGCCATTGGTTCACCCTCCAATGGCCGCCGCGGCCGGCACGTCGCGCTGATCAGAAGCCAGGAGCCAGGTGCTTCCTCCTGGTCTCCCATGGGGTGCAGGGCCCAAGCACTTGGGCCATCCTCCACTGCACTCCCAAGCCACAGCAAAGAGCTGGCCTGGAAGAGGGGCAACAGGAACAGACAGAATCCGGCGCCCCGACCGGGACTAGAACCCGGTGTGCCAGCACTACAAGGTGGAGGATTAGCCTATTGAGCCATGGCGCCGGCCCTGATTGGTTTTTATTCTGGCCTCCTGACTGAATGTTCTTCCTGCCTGATGTTTGTCTGTTATTCTACTGCTCCCCTGACTAGTTAAATCTGGCTCTGTTTTTCAGAAATGGGCTAGTCATAGAGAGCCACTTTGTGTATAAAAGAGCCAGCACTGGCAAGTTTATTTAACAAATCCCTTGGAGTCCCTCTCATGATTTCTGGGGTTAGAAGGTTTCTAGCTTTCAATTAATCTTGCTTTGCTCTTCTTCCACATGAGACATGAACTTTGGTCTCATCTCATTGTACAGTAACATTGCCAAGGGGAAATTGTGATTCGTTTAACAATTCTGCTTATGTTCCTTTTATTAAGTGGGCATTTAGTCAGATATATTCCTAGGGCCACCTTTGTCAGGACCAGTCAGGTCACATTATTTTTGAAGCAGCATATGACCCACTATGTCAGATGCACGCCCCTGGAGTATTCTTTTTAACTGATGGCTTTTAGATGAAGAGGAAGAGAAATAGACAGGTAACGGTCACATCTGCTGGTTTGCTCCCAACAGTCTGCAAAGACTGTGGAACAAGGAACTAAATCCACAGCTCCCATGTGCATGGTAGGAGCTCAATTCTTTGATCCATCAATGCTGATCACCAGGTGCAGGAAGCTGGGGGTCAGGAGCAGGGACTGGGAATTGAACCCAGGTTTTCCAGTCGACATGTAGGCATATTAACCTCAATCTTAACTGCTAGGTTAAACACCTGGCCTAGCCCTGGATAATTCTGTCACATATGTTTGGAAGAATGAGTGTGAAACACGTAATGGATGCTATTACAAACATATCTGGGACTGGACTGATCCTAATAAAAGATGACCTAGGGCCATAAGTGACAGAAAAGAAACACAGTGACAGTGATGAAATGCAGAATGGTTACACAAAACCGTTTCCTAGGAAGAAACTGCCACAAGAACATAGGATGCAGGAGTGCTGTGGGCTAGGTTGGGCCTAAATTTCTATTCCAGACTCCTGCTTTAACTACACAACATTGTAAGTACAGGCGTAAACGCGACGTGCAACGTGATCACGTTTATTGACAAACTGAGGAAAATGCACCTGCACATATAGCTTTTATTTAGAGAGAGTGGGCCAGGAAAGGTAAAGAGAGAGACTACCATACCCTGCCTGCTCTGGGTCCACGTGGAGAGAGTGTTTGCCCTTTAATGAGCTGCTTCTCAGGAGCTGAGAAATGCAAGTGCTTTGTGATGTGGCCCCCAAGTCCTGGGTGAGGGGAAGTACTTTCTGGGGAAGAGGTCATCTGATTGACAGGGGGGCGGTCACGATTACGGGGAGTGGGGGAGGTGTGGCTTCCAGCCTGTAAACTTCCTGTAGCTGCCTACCTATGGCACTACCAGCATTGGCAATGCTTAGATATACTAAGGATTTCCTCAACCTCGCGAGGACGCCTCCGGCCCACAGCCGAGGTGAGTGCAGCAGCGCGGCGCGACAGGCCTTTTCGGCTGGGAGGGTGGCTCTGGAAAGAGCCTTTGTGGGGAGAGGGGCGGCCGGGCCCCAGGCCCCTCACTGGCCGATGGCAAACTTCCGCAGGGCCCTGATGCCCTGGATGTTCGCGTACTTGTGGGGCTTGCCGGGCAGTAGGCGGTGGGCCGCGTTCTGCATGTCTCTGAGGGTCAGGGTCAAGCGCTTGTTCTCCCAGGCCAGGCGGGCGGCCTCGGCGGCCAGGCGCTCGAAGACGTCGCTCACGAAGGAGTCCATGAGGCTCATGGCCTCCCGGGACAGGCTGAGGCCTTCGTGAAGCTTCTTCAGAACCCGGGGGAAATAGGTGCAAAGCTGTGCTCCCAGTCAGGGCGGCTGTGACGCCTCCGGGGCTGCTCCTGCTCCTGCTTCGCAGTGGGCGTCGGCGCCCTTTTGGGCTCCAGGATGCCGAGGTCCTGCTCAGAAGTCTCGCGGGAGCCGAGCTCAGCCATGGCAGAGCTAGGAGCTATTAATGTGACAACAGCGGCGGGCATCGGCTCGCTCTGTCGTCTGCTTATATTGGCAGGATGGCGACGTCATGGGCCAACTCCTCATCTGACTGGATGGTGGGCCATGCGGGGGGCCTACCAGTGAGCTGCACGATGCTCAATGTGATTGCACAGGGCTCACCCACCTGTCACTGACTGGCAGGCCATGGGGGCCCTATGGCTAAGCCACATGGCACTGTGTGATGGCACAGCCCTCCCTCCTGGAACCAATTCAGCCAATCACAGTGAGTGGGTGGAAACCTAGATGCTCCCTGTTGACTGCTAGAAAGTTTGTAAGATGATATTGTATGAAATTACTTTAAAAATTTATGAGAGAGAGAGAGAGAGCGCCCACCATAGCAGGGCCTACTTAATCCAGGATCCATGAACTCAATCCAAGTATCCCAGTTCAGTGGCAGAGACTCAATTCTTTGAGCCATCACCTGCTGCCTGGCAGGGTGCACATTTGTTGAGAGCTGGAATTAGGAACAGAGCCAGAACTCAAAGCCAGATGCTCAGGTGTGGCGTGAAGGTGTGGTGACCAGAGTCCTACCCATTTAGCCAACTGCCCAACCCGATCACATCTCTAATGAACAGTTTCTCGTATGATGCATTAATTAGTTCCAAGTTAGGAAAGGGGAAAGATAATATTTGTTATGAGAAAATATGATATGGTGATAAAACAAGTAAAGAAATATCGTAAAGGCATTTCTGAACAATCCCATTACCAAATGACTACTAAAAATCCTCCTCGACCTATTAGTCACCAAATCCCCTTTTTCTTTTTTCATTTTATTTAATGAATATAAATTTCCAAAGTACAGCTTATAGATTACAGTGGCTTTTCCCCCCCATAACTTCCCTCCCACCCGCAACCATCCCATCTCCCGCTCCCTCTCCCAATCCATTCACATCAAGATTCATTTTCAATTCTCTTTATATACAGAAGAACAATTTAGTATATATTAAGTAAAGATTTCAACAGTTTGCACCCACACAGAAACACAAAGTGTAATATACTGTTTGAGTACTAGTTATAGCATTAATTCACATTGAACAACACATTAAGGAAACATATCCTACATGGGGAGTAAGTGCACAGTGACTCCTGTTGTTGACTTAAAAACTGACACTCTTGTTTATGGCATCAGTAATCACCCTAGGTTCTTGTCATGAGTTGCCAAGGCTATGGAAGCCTTTTGAGTTCGCCTACTTCGATCTTATTTAGACAAGGTCATAGTCAAAGTGGAAGTTCTCTCCTCCCTTCAGAGAAAGGTACCTCCTTCTTTGATGGCCCATTTTTTCCACTGGGATCTCACTTGCAGAGATATTTCATTTAGGTCTTTTTTTTTCCAGAGTGTCTTGGCTTTCCATGCCTATAATACTTTTTTTGTTCTACTTAATACTATTGGTTGAACTCTGTAATTAACACACAATTATTCTTAAGTGTTTAAATTTAACTAAAAAGTGATCCCTGTTAAATATAAGAGTGGGAATAAGAAAGGGAGGAGATGTACAGTTTGGGACAAGCTCAAGCTGACTTGCCCCAAATGGTAGTAGAGTAGAAACATGCCTGGGGATTCCAATTCAATCCCATCAAGGTGGCATATACCAATGCCATCTTACTAGTCAAAGTGATCAGATTCAGTTCACAATTGATCATCATGATAGGTCTAAGAGTCAAAGGGATCACATAAACAAGACTAGTGTCTGCTAATACTAACTGATAGAATTAA